TATGTACAGAGTTCAGTACAGAGTCACAAAATATATATAATGCTTTACTATTCTCTCTGTTTGTGTCCTGGCCTATCTATAATGAATTATCTGAGAAGTTTAAAAGTGTACACAGTGCTTGATCAACAACTTTGTCATAAAAACAAACTCGTTGGCCTCACGGCGGCCTGGCGTCTCTCTAAGGTCCCGACTGTCTGTCGAGATGAACGTCATCATCATTCTTCTCTGTTTCCTTTACGATGTCACCATTTGCATCATTTTGCTCAGTAAGACTCGGCCTCACTTCTTCACTGTCTCAGCACTTTGGTTTTTTTACCAGACGTTCGCAGCATCCTCATCTAAACGAATTCATCCTGATCCAATTTATCTTGGTTCCACGACAGTGGACAGAAGCACATTGTTCCAGGATGGTGAGGACATAATGAAATGACCCGACCTCCTCGCTGTTTTGTTGCTTTCGAACAGAGGTTGGTTCTCGTCCCCATCGCTGCCTCTCAATTTGTCAGACCACATGTCCATATGGCAGCTCCTCCTGTCCCCGTCCAGCCCGTTAATTATATCTGTGTGTATCTGTGACTGTGTCCTGCAGGCAGCCGCTCAGCTCGGAGGAGAAAGACCACTCACCTACAGGGATTATGTCAGGACGGAGATCCTGTGTGGGGAGATTAATTAGCAGTGGGTAGACTTGGGTTGATTCCGGGGAGCTTAAGATGAAGAGAAACTTGAAAGAGAAGAGGTAGAGAGAACATTAATGCAAGACGACAGCAGCACTTGCTTTTGTAACATTTCCAGTGCTGGACTTTTACTTGTCTCTCGATAAAACATGTGAAACAAGGCAGTGAAATTACTGATGTACGTTGTGGGTCGGGGTATTGACACAGAAATCAATTTGCAACGGAAAACTAGAAATTTCTGAAAATCAAATGAACTCTTTGAATATCAGACGGTCTCTGCCGTTGTTCTGCTGTTTGGCCACTTCAGGGCACTATCACACAGTGAATATCACACTGACCTTCTACACTGAGATAAACATCTCTCCGTCTTTCAATCTAATCTCACTTGTACAGCAGATATTCACAAATCACAATTAGTCTCATAGGGCTTTGACATTCCGACTGTAATTTACAATATAACTTACAGTTACTACACAGTTTGGATCATTAAACACTTTTCTATGAAGATTGTCTAAGAAATTATGATTTAATGAATATAACAAACAGAATTAGTAAAGATTTCTTTTGCCTCCTCCTCTGAGACTCAGCAGAACCAAACTTTAATCCTCAGGTTGTTTCCTCTGGAGGTCAGAGTCTTAATCTGCAGCGGCTAAAGCGAAAGTCAGATTTGCTGGATGTGAATGAAAATGCTTCATGTTCATTGATGTAAAGTTTACTGAGAATCAACACAAGGTTACGATGCCTCCATCGTTTGAACCGGGAGAGTTTGCACCATCAAACTTTTCTCTCTGGCTGCTCGCATTAACACGGAGCTCCGCTGGTGTACGAGGCCGAGTGACATTTTCAAACCATCCATCACCTTGTGTGCTTTGCTCTCTCTCTCTCTCTCTCTCTCTCTCTCTCTCTCTCTCTCTCTCTCTCTCTCTCTCTGCTGTCACTGTGAGAAATGTCTCCCCGACAGTCACACAGCAACAATGAACATTTCACGAGGCTGAACAGGAGAAAAGCTTCGGTTTTCTGGATCATTTGTTGATCGAATTAATCACAAAGTACAGAAAATGAGGAGAGAATGAGCACGGACACATTTGATTTAGTTTAGAAAGTTGATAAGAAAAATAGGACGTTATGAAAAGGGACAGACTTTCTCCAGACGTGATTAATATTCATTAATGTGGTCGTAGCCATCGAAGCTGGGGTTGGTGGGCAATTAAGGCCCTTCAGCTGAGACAAGGCCCCAAAGTATCTGCTGGATGCTGAGGGCCTGTGTGGAGGCCACGGAGGCTGAAGACAGCAAGTAAGGACTCAGCCCGTGAGACGATGCTGCCGGGGTGACAGGTCTCATCGAGCGAGCCTGAGGAGGGACTTTGGAACAGATGGTTACCGGGTTGGGCATGTCCCCGGCAATCCTCGCGGCCTGTTCATTAGCCCCTGTGTCATGCACCTTTTTAACGGGAGGGTCGGCTGACAGGCAACAGCTCCGCTCGGCAGCGCGGGCAACATGCTGGAGTTTGTCCTCAGAAGACAGGACGACTGAAAATGTTGCATCCGGGATATTTTGGCTTCATTTCTGGATAGAGGGAGGAAGAGGAGACATGTCGTCTGTCTTTACGACGTGGAGGAAAAGACTTCCATCAACATGTTCTGCTGCTGTAATGTCACAGACGTCCTCCCTCCACTTCCACGGTATTGAACCCGTGAGCCGTGTTGGTGGCTCATTAGTATTTCCTCTGCATCTTCACAGCAGTGGGTCTCTGTGTTCAAGAACCTCTGAGACTGTGAGGTTGCAGGGGGGGGGGGGTGAAAAACACACACTCACTGCAGCAGGAATCCTCAAGGTCACGTTCCGCCAGGTCCGTCTCTGGGTTTTGTGGGTTTCATAATAAAACTTTGAAGCCGTGGGTCAGTGTTTCTCCTCGGGTGTGTGGCGTCGGGAAATGTCATGTTAATGCTTCACTGCCTCAGGAGGTCACCACTGGAACAACATTTGTATTCTGCTGTTCCGCACTGACCTTCACTGTTCCTGTGAATTTTAATAGAGGTGAAGAAAACTAGTCAGAAAAGTTGAATGAGTCTAAATAAACCACATGATTTAGTGTATGTTCAAACTTTTTACCATTTGTTTT